CCTGCAGGACTGTGGGAATCAATCCCTCATGGAAGCTGTTCTAAGTCATGAACTGATCCCCTTTCTTTCACCTGTGCAGCTTCAGTGAATTTATGAATGTGGGATCTCTTAAGGCAACGTTTTTCTGTAGAACTTAGGGAATCAATCCCTCATGGGTGCCATTCTGAGTCACACCTGCCCCCGTTTCCCCACCTGTGCAGCTTCAGCGAATTTACGAATTTAGGATCTCTTGAAGCAATGTTTTCCTGCAGGACTGTGGGACTCAATCCCTCATGGGAACCATTCTGAGTCAGCCCTCATCCTCTTTCCCCACCTGTGCAGCTTTGGTGAATTTATCAATTTAGGGTCTCTTAAGGAAGAGCTTTCCTGCAGGACTGTGGGACTCAATCCCTCATGGAAGCTGCTCTGAGTCAGCCCTGATCCTGTTTCCCCACCTGTGCAGCTTCAGTGAATTTACAAATTTAGGATCTCTTAAGGCAATGTTCTTCTGCAGAACTTAGGGAATCAATCCCTCATGGAAGCCATTCTGAGTTCGACCTGCCCCCGTTTCCCCACCTGTGCAGCTTCAGTGAATTTATGAATTTAGGATCTCTTAAGGCAACGTTTTCCTGCAGGACTGTGGGAATCAATCCCTCATGGAAGCCATTCTGAGTTCGACCCGATCCCACTTCCCCACCTGTGCAGCTCTGCTGAATTTATGGATGTGGGATCTCTTAAGGCAACGTTTTCCTGCAGGCCTGTGGGACTCAATCCCTCATGGAAGCCGTTCTGAGTCAGCCCTGTCCCCATTTCCCCACCAGTGCAGCTCTGCTGAATTTATGGATGTGGGATCTCTTAAGGCAACGTTTTCCTGCAGGACTGTGGGAATCAATCCCTCACGGGAGCCATTCTGAGTCAGCCCTGTCCCCGTTTCCCCACCAGTGCAGCTTCAGTGAATTTACGGATTTAGGATCTCTTAAACCAATGTTCTTCTGCAGGACTGTGGGAATCAATCCCTCATGGAAGCCATTCTGAGTTCGACCTGCCCTCGCTTCCCTACCTGTGCAGCCTTGGTGAATTTATCAATTTAGGGTCTCTTAAGGAAGAGCTTTCCTGCAGGACTTTGGGGATCAATCCCTCCTGGAAGCTGTTCTGAGTCAGCCCTGATCCTGTTTCCCCACCTGTGCAGCTTCAGTGAATTTATGAATGTGGGATCTCTTAAGGCAACGTTTTCCTGCAGGCCTGTGGGAATCAATCCCTCATGGGAGCCATTCTGAGCCAGCCCTGCCCCCGTTTCCCCACCAGTGCAGCTTTGGTGAATTTACGAATTTAGGATCTCTTAAGCCAATGTTCTTCTGCAGGACTGTGGAATCAATCCCTCATGGAAGCCATTCTGAGTCAAACCTGCCCCCATTTCCCCACCTGTGCAGCTTCAGTGAAATTATGAATTTAGGATCTCTTAAGGCAATGTTTTTCTGCAGAACTTAGAGAATCAATCCCTCATAGAAGCCATTCTGAGTCAGCATGCCCGTTTCCCCACCTGTGCAGCTTCAGTGAATTTATGAACGTGAGATCTCTTAAGGCAACGTTTTCCTGCAGGCCTGTGGGACTCAATCCCTCATGGNAGATCCGCGTGGGGCGCGTAGAGGCCGCGCTCGAAGCGTTCCCGCAGCACCGACCACCGGGTGGCACAATAATCCTGCAGGGAATCAAAAAAACGGGAAAAAGGGAATGATCCCAGCACTCCTCCCGCCTGGAGAAGGAAAATCCCACCTGAAAAAAATCATCTGAAACACCAAAAACCAAAAAGTAACAGCAGCTTGCAGCGCCAGTAAGGAAAATCCCAAATTTTGTGGGAATATTTTGATGCACACTTGGAATTTGGGGTGGAATTACTGTTAAACTTTTGGAATTTGGAGTGGAATGAATGTTAAAATTCTCTGGGAATATCCAGCAAGGAAAATCCCAAATTTCATGAGAATATTTTGATCCACACTTGGAATTTTGATCCACACTTGGATGGAATTAATGTTAAACTTTTGGAATTTGGGGTGGAATTAATGTTCAGCTCTCTGGGATTATCCAGGATCCCAAATTTCATGGGAATATTTTAATCCACATTTGGAATTTGGGGTAGAATTAAAGTTCAACTCTTGGAATTTGCAGTGGAAATTATGTTAAACTCTCTGGGAATATCCAGAAGGAAAACCCCAAATTTTGTGGGAAGATTTTGACCCACATTTGGAATTTGGGGTGGAATTGTGTTAAACTCTTGGAATATCCAGGATCTCAAATTTAATGGGAATATTTTGATCTACACTTGGAATTTTGGGATGGAATTAAAGTTCAACTCTTGGAATTTGGGATGGAATTCATGTTAAACTCTTGGAATTTGGGGTGGAATTGATTTTAAAACTCTCTGGGAATATCCAGGATTCCAAATTTCATGGGAATATTTTAATCCACATTTGGAATGTGGAGTGGAATTAATGTTAAACTCTTTGGGAATATCCAGCAAGGAAAATCCCAAATTTCATGGGAATATTTTGATCCACATTTGGAATTTGGGGTGGAATTAACGTTAAACTCTCTGGGAATATGCAGTCAGGCAAATCTCAAATTTTGTGGGAATATTTTGATCCACACAAAGATATTTGCTGCAGGACTTTGGGAATAAAAACCTTGACGATGTTATGGATTAGGAATTGATCCCTTTTTTCACCTGTGCAATTTCAGAGAATATATCAATTTGGGATCTCCTAAGGCAATATTTTTCTGCAGGACTTTGGGAATAAAATCCGCATGGAGGGTTGTTACAAATGAGGAAATTGATGCCTTTTTTTTCACCTGAATTTAGGATCTCTTAAAGAACTTGGGATTTCTTAGTGGATTTGGGATGTCTAAGGCCAAGATTTGCTGCAGGACTTTGGGAACAAAATCCTCACAGAGACATGTTACAAATGAGGGCACTGATCTCTTTTCTTTCGCCTGTGCAGATTTGGTGAATTTATGAATGTGGGATCTCTTAAGGCAATGTTTTGCTGCAGGACTTAGGCAATAAAATCC